TTTGGATATTGTGTGATGTGATTAGAGTAATTAATTGGATTAATATGTATTCGAAAGATTAATTAAAAGTGGATTTATTACTATTAAAATTATTATTACTAAATTGGTTTGAAATTGTACTCACACCAATACATGGCATTTTATAGTCGGCGTGTAATTCCGTTGGAAAATATACGCTTAATACGCTAACAAAAGCGGATAAAATACTAGCAAATTGGCAACACTGTTAGAATGACCATGATAATATTTTACTGAACAGTAGCATATATATCTAATTTTAAATTAAATAAAGTTTTTATTTTGGGCAAAAATTTGATTTTAAGACAAGTGCAAATGGGATCGTCGCATGTCTTCAAATTATGTGGGCATATTATGTGGGTAATATTTTACAAAAAGTTTCATTTTCTATAGTTTAAATAAAAAATATCGGCGTTATTAATTTCTGTGATATTTCTCGGAAGTGATAACACTAATCGACTCGACTGAACAGAACTTATTGTAAAATAATATCTATATAAAAACATTGTTAATATTAGTATATTATTCAACGAGCATGTAATGATGGCTATTACTCACGATGATGAAGTTTGCGACACGAGCCGAAGGCGAGTGTCGTAATTCCCTCAGAGTGACCTTTTCTACGACCTTTTTTTGTTTTAATTAGAAAAAATATATATAATTATCAACTACTCGAGATTAAAATTATAATTTACAAAATAAATTTTGTTTACCAATACTCATAGTACTCGGCTGAATAATTGGTAGCTTATTATTAGCAATGCTGTCTAAATTATGTATTGTAAAAACACAACAAGAAATAGTCAATTCAAGTTATATTCATTTCCGAAAAATTATAAGTATAAAGTACCTACTACTATTATTGTAATAAATAGGAAATGGCTATTATCGGTGAACATATTTTAAATAAAAAACAGGTGTGGCAGTTCAGTGGGACTGCTGGTAGAAGTTATACCTCTATACAAGAAGTTACAAATTTATTATTACATATGTAATGCTATAGGTAAGAGAGAGAGCAGAAAGAGAAATAGAATTGGGTATATAGGTATATGGTGCATCGTTTCCTGTATATATACAACATTTGACCTGTAATAAAAGTATAGTAAATGAAGGATTATTTTGATGAAAATATATATATTTATTTTCATATAGATATGTATAAAAGGAGTTGAATGCAATTTTTTTTACACAGACTCTGCAGTAAAATTCATTGTTTATTTTGTTATTAATGCAAAAATACAATACACTGCAACATAATTCAATATAATAATACAATTTAAATTAAAATGCAACATCCATAAGTATTTAAAAATGACAATATACATAACTTACTTATATAAACTTATAAATCTTAAATATATTTACAAAAGGAACATTTTTATTCTCGAGAGAGACAGAGGGAGACAATATATCTTCTGTCTCTCTTTTATCTATATCTTACATATGTAATGATTTTGCTGATTCACTTCCGTACAAATTTCCAACGTCGAACGGGCGTATAGAAGTATAACTTCAAAAAATGTTTGTGGAAGATAAAAATAAAAAACCAACAACTCGGATTATGTTGTAAATTTTCATTTTATTTTAAAATTTCGCATTTTTGCGTGTATTACATATATTTAATAAGATTAACGTGGGGTTTTTCAAAAATAAAGAAGGAAATTCATATTGGGATTCGAACTCACATATACCAGCGTGTGAACAAAACACGCAAAAAATTTGCCAATTAGACATGAAAGTAATGTATTTCAAAATTGACAGTTCTCGGTCATACAGTGATTTATTGTAATTATTATTTTGAAATACAAAAGACTAAAATAATTATGAACATTTAATAAATAATACAAAACATCACATAAATAATAATATTAATAAATATTAAATATATTTACAAAAGGAACATTTTTATTCTCGAGAGAGAAAGAGAGAAAATATATCTTCTGTCTCTCTCTTACCTATATCTTACATATGTAATGATTTTGTCGATTCACACCGTACAAATTTCCAACGTCGAAAGCGCGTATAAAAGTATAACTTCAAAAGTTTTAATGTATATTTATATTTAAGTATACAGTGATGAGCTCACTAATAACCGACAGAATAACGCAAAAGATGAAAAACACATTAAGTTATGAGATAAAAAGAAATGAAACTAGTGGAGGTGGAAGATTGAGCGATAAAAACATATAAATTTACATTATACTTATTGTTTCCCACCTTTAGACGTATTGGACGAGTTTGGTAACTGTCACTGAGACAGTGACTGTTTTAGTTGACATATTCTTCTGATACGTTAATAATTTTTATCAAGAATTGTGTTTATATGTTTTCAAAGATATATAAGCAAAATGAGAATATCTACAATTACAGTAGAAATAAAGATTTCAACTAACACCTAATTCGAATTAAGTACTTACGATATACTCAGAGTTACTATTATCACTAGTATCACTCGTATGATCAAAATTTATAGTTAATTTGGTTAATGCTGGTAAATATTTAACATAGTCATTTTCCACTCCGATCACATGTTTTATTACATTTTTCCAATTGGTTGCTGTGATTTTTGTGACTTCTCTTCTAATTAAGAGAACAGTAGACGAAAATTTAGAAGCAACGTTTTTTCTCCTTATATTTCCTTTCAGTTGAAGAATTAACTTCTTCTTCTTCTCATATTAACTCTATTGGGTTCAATGTACAATAATAAAGAGGAAGTCTAATCACAGTATGCCCATTACTACCAGCACGGTTTTCAACAACATATTCCTTTTTAGTATAAGATGTCTCAAAATACAAATCTTCTGTAAATAAAAAATTCTGAATTTGTAATTTATTCCAACTACTATTTGGAGTATTTTTCATTAATCTTGAATGATATGATGGGTTGTCTATGACAATCACACTATGTTTAGGTAATTTCGGAAGAAGAAATTTTTCAAACCATGATTCAAAAATTGAACTTTCCATATCGTCATGATAATCCAGAGACGCGTCTTTAATTTGTTTTGCAGATATTAAGGCTGTTTTATCGCTACACCAAAACCTAGATACAGTGTTTTCTCTGTTATTTACCGACAAAATATCTCGAAATTTGGACACGTTATTCAAAATTATGTTGCCTTTAAACTGATGGTTTTACTTTTTTATTTTTTTTTTGAAAGTTCTTTTGAAATATCGGATTATACAGTTTAACGTTCTATTATAACCAAACTTTTTACGCCCATCACTTGAAAGAGTTTTTTTTTCTGTAATCGTTGGTTTTTTTTTCACCTTTTTATGTCCAGTAATAATCGAGAAAAGCGTGTTCAAACTTTGAAGAAAATTGCTAAAAAATACTGAAATCTAATGGTGAAACGTGTTACTTATCATTGGCATTTAGTTTCACCGTTTCGGCTGCGTGACGTCAAATCTCATGAACGTACGGTCAGATAGTATGATTTGTAATCAATTTCATTCTATAACTGCGAAATTGTTTATTTGTTTGTGACAACAAATTGTATTTTTTTTTTTTGATAATAATATTTTTATGTTATTTTAAATTATAAATAAACACCATGATGTTTTTTGCAGTCACGTTTCACAAATTTATATTCAATACTATATTTAGCTAAGACATATAAATTAAAAATGTGATAATTATTTTTAAAACATCTACGATAATCAAACAAAAAAGGTATTCCCGACAAAAGTAATTTGAATGGAGAATAATGCATTTGTTGTCATTAAACCACCCGCCGACCGGCGCCACTGCGAAAACAGCTGTACCCGTCGTCGGCTGGCGTAAGCAGTGAGGAACAGTAAGTGATACGCCCATTTCAAATCGCAGTGTGTTTTGACTGCTAAAACAGCCTTAATAATGCATCGTCGATCCATCCATTTTCTCCACCGCAGTGTAAAATTATAATCCTCTTTCCTTTATTGGGCGGTACTGAGTTGAAACACTTTTTGTTTTTGTCTTGTCTAACTTTTTTCACGGTGTCATGAGTATCATACCAGATCTCATCTAAATAAACAATATTTCGTTTCATTTTTCGATACTCAGTTATATGTCTGATATAGTTTGTTTCTTAAAGAAATTATTCTATTACTTTCCATTAGTGTCTAGCTTGTCTATAGTTTTGTACTTAAAATTATTGGCTTTAAGAAATAATCGAAGTGTTTTTGCCCAACATGAGAGAATGTCCTTTCGAACTGACTCACTTCGAAGGCTTTCAATCACCACGGACGTAATTATCAAACGTATAAAAACATAATCACGTAAAAAAGTATCAAAAAAAGTATAAAACGTAAAATGTAAAAAGTGTTCCGTAGAAAAAACACAAGTCACGGCCAAACTCACTTGCAGTTCACTATTTGATATTTGAATTTAACTGAATGCTGTAGCAGTTCTGGTTATACTAAAAGTATTCTTGTTTCCCAAAAATCTGTTGGTCATATCTGCAATTTAAAAATAAAATTGTTCTCCGTCCCTTCGTGCCTTCGACACTGGACGGTCGAAACCTGATACTCTATTTTATGACTCCGTAAGCTCAGACAAATACTATTACAATCTTACCTCAAGTCTGAATAAGTCTACCGACAAAACATAACGCATTATGATTTGTCATAACAGCGATATCCTATGTTTTCATTGGCCGTTGATCCAGGTTTACTTATTAACAGTTCGATGAAAACTTAACTGGTTGACTGCCCATATTTTAAAACCAGGCACGTCTGAATGTTAATATCGAGTGGACTCTTAAAACTTTGTATTATTATACGTCTGAGTCATTGATAATTTTACAGAATTCTGGTAGAGTACTTTTTCATTGCCTGATTTTGTTACAGATACATATATTTTTACACAGTCTTACGGAAATACGAGGCTACTGTATTTGTTTTTATTTTGTTTATTAGATCATTCATTCGTATTAAGTTTTATTACTTTTTATTTTTCGATGTAGTTTGTGCATAAACAAATTTTAATTTTTTTTAAATTTTAGGTTTTTCCCAGAAGATATTGTTGGAAATGGATATTATGAGAGCATTACCTGAACATTCATGCAATAAAGAACAGCACATAAGCCCGAACTCTGGAGAAACAAATTTAAATAATTCTATTTGTTTTAAACATCGCTCTCAAAAACATAAGTCAAATAAACAGTTGGAAGTTCTGAACGAAAAACGAGTTTTCAAATGTGAAATTTGTTTTAAACAGTTTAGTATGTCACGTTATTTGAAACAACATATAATAACGCACAGTGAAGAAAAACCTTACAAGTGCGAAATTTGTTTTAAGCAGTTTCCACGACTAGGTGATATGACAAAGCATATGAGATTACACACTGAAGAAAAACGTTACAAGTGTGAAATTTGTTTCAAGCAATTTTCCCAGAAATTTAATTTGGACAGGCATTTTAGAACTCATAGTGGAGAAAAACCTTACCAGTGTGAAATTTGTCTTACGCAATTTAGTGAAAGAGGAACTGTGAAAAAGCATATGAGAGTGCACACTGTAGAAAAACCTTACCAGTGTGAAATTTGTTTTAAGCACTTTAGTGAAATAGGAAGTTTCAAAAATCATTTAAGAGTGCACACTGGAGAAAAAGCTTACCAGTGTGAAATTTGTTTAAAGCAGTTTACTCGAGCTTATGACTTGAAAATTCATTTGAGAATGCACACTGGAGAAAAACAGCAGTGTGAAATTTGTTGTAAGCAATTTAGTAAAGCGGGAAGTTTGAAAAACCATTTAAGAGTGCACACTAAAGGAAAACCTTAGCAGTTTGATTTTTGTTTTAAGCAATTTAGTAAAACGGGAACTTTGAAAAAGCATTTGAGGGTGCACATTGAAGAAAAATCTTTCAAATGTGAAATTAATTTTAAATAATTTAGTCAATTGGAAAATTTGAAAAGGCATTCGACCATGCACACTATAATCGGTTCACAATTTGTCGATTGCTCACAAGTTTAACCCTAATTAGAGAACTGAAATACAGAGAGGATAGGTAATACGATAGGTACAATGATAAAAACCAACCTGAAACTGACGATTTAAGATGTTTTCGACTAACCCACCTTGTATCTGAAGGAATACAATACAGCAGTCAATCTTATAATCCGATTACTTTGGTTACAGATGACCGACCAGTGTTGTAGAGTATATGATTGAAACATTTATTTGAACTAAATAAATATATTTTTTAAATTGTATTTTTGTTTTATTAAAACTTCTTTATTTTATTAAAAAATAAAAAGCTTATTGCCATTTGTAAAAGATACATTTATTTAATTAAGGGGAAAGGCGCCAAATGTCGCTTAGCAAAATTTTCAATGTGTTTTAAATGTATCCATTATTTTCGAATCCAGAGAAAACTAATAAATATTTTGAAAAATTTAAGCGCAGAATGAAAGATTTCACTATTACTGAGGGCAGAAAGTCCCTGAAAACTTCTACAATGTTTATCTTAATATGTTATGTAACAGGGGTGAAAATAAAAGAGAAAATATAGTATAATTTTTAATTGAAAATATTGCATGCAAAAGAAACTTTTTATTCTAATAAATATTTCATTCTGCCTTTAAATTTTTGAAAAATGCTTTTTAGTTTTCTCAGGATTTGAAAAAAATTGATGCACTTAAAACACATTGAACATTTTGACAGGCGACATTTTGCGCCTTTCCCCTTTAATATCTTACGATTACAACTACTATTACTTACCTTATATAATTACGATTAGAAAACTATTCACATTCAAAATAAATAGGATCAACATAGGAATCCGAGTCGTCTTGAGGGTTAATAATTAGCGGTTGTGTCTCTACGGTCGCATCAATTATGTTATCAAGATCCCACATTTTTGTTCTTCTATTACATGTCTTACTGCATCTTTCCAGTTTTGTTCTGTAATATGTTGTAAAGACTCGTATAACAATTCACGTACAGCTTGTATTTTATATGACGTATTTGTTCTAACCACATAACTTTTCATTTGTGCCCAAATGAGTTCAATTAGATTTATGTCGCAGTGGTAAGGTGGAAGTCTAAGGACTGTGATGTATCGCATTTCCGCCATTTTTTCAACTACTTGAACTTAGATTTGTGTTGCCGGGCAATTTTTTAAAGTTCTGCTTTTACCATTCCATCTTCGTAAGGCAGATACTTATTCCGCAGCCAGTCAAGAATATCCTGTTTCATCCACGCAGTCGTTGGAAGTCGTTCTACTAGTCGTGAATGATAAGGTGCATTATCGAATACTATAATTGAATTTGATGGAATGTGTTCAATCATCTACTCAAAATACTCTTCGAAAACATCAGCTGTCATCTCCTCGTGATAGTCTTTTGTGCTTTTGGACTGAAATTCCAACAAACCATGCTTAACAAATCCTTTTTCACTGCCAATGTGAAAAATTATTAATCTACTGCCTTTATCAGAAGGTAGGGAGATGTCAGTAGACCAACCTTCTATAAAGGCTTGCCTGGAGCTTAATATATTTTTATCTGACCAAATTTTTTTAAGAGTATGACCTGAGTTTACCCACGTTTCATCCTGGTAGAAGATTGGCGTTCCTTCAGTCCAGAATTTTCGTATGAATCTTAGATAATTTCTTCTCCAACATACTATCTCCTCCCGGTCAATCAAAAGTGATTTTCGGTCTGATTTCTCCTATCGGAAATGTAATTCTTTTAAAACTTGTCACAATTTAGTTCGTCCGATATAAGGCAAATCCGGGTCGTCTCTAACGTCTTGTAAAATTTTGTTCAGGTTTGGTATTTCTTTTATTCGAAAAAAAAAAAAAATCCATGAATTCTCCTTCGAATACCATTTTTGACAAATTCATCAATTTCAATAGGCTTTTTCCCTCTCTTTAAGTGTTCGTTTTGTTAAATACTCGTGAATAAGGAACAACCCTGCCTATGGTTGACAGCACGATTGATGTATGTCAATGTCAACGGTTTTTAAGATAGTATCGTAATGTAACACAAGCGTCTATTCATACCTTGTTACAATTCGTCTTCGATGCTCGCGCATCCATGTAATGTCAAATATTTTATTGTAATATACCAGATTTGATTTGTTAATATTTTGAAATTACAGGCTACTTAATGATTTCATTCGTTTAAATCAGACTCAGAACGATAATGATAGAAAATATGCGATTAAACTTATTGCCTAGATTTTACTAGAAAAGTTCAATTGCGATTTCCGCAAGTGGTGTGGTCCTTAAGTAATTGTACAAAAAGTAGCCGTAGATTCTACACTTTAAAATATTACGATTTAAGTCAAATTACTTTAATAAAATGTTGATATTAAGAAACATACAGGGTGTTAAAGTGAAAATTTAAAATTTTAATTTTCGCTATAACTTTCATGTTTGTGAACATTTATGTATCAAAATTTATAGCTAGGTACTATTGAATATTAGAAATTATAATTTGATGCATATTTTAATGTAGCTGACACAGGGCGCCACATATGTTGCATATATTTACACTTAACTTTTTTGCTTTTTAAGTTACCGGTGTTTGTGATTAAAAATATTAAAGATACTTTATTTTAACAAAAAAAAAACTTCAAAAACTCAACAGTTTTCGAGAGAATCGCATTTTATACATCAACTACATAATTCAGAATTCACGCAATTACTCCAGGCAACGAAAGAAAACTAGACAAAAACATCAATACTTCTGAATTTTGGTGTAAAATACCTTTAATAAAGTTAATAGTTAACGAAATATTAAATAAAATAAATATTTCAGGAGCATAGTTAATAGTAGGATTTGACAAAATAACAGAATAGTTGGATTTTACATGAAATATTTTACGTTTTGAATTAAATAAGTCATAATCAAAATATTTTAATTACAAACCAAATTAAGAAATAGTTAAACTAAATAACACTTTAACTAACTTTGTCAATACATTCCATAAAAGAACGTCTCAACTAAATTCCTAAGTTTACTTTAACAATAAATTTGTTTATTAAAATTAAACTTTAACAATAAATTTTAATTACAATAATTACAAAACACAAAAACGAATTAAATCATAATCAGAACCTTATCTAGGAATAAATCCTATAAATATTTGACATTACATGGATGCGCGAGCATCGAAGACGAATTGTAACAAGGTATGAATAGACGCTTGTTAATGTAACCACTTTTAATTATGAATTATGTATTTTATGTATCACGTTTATTTGAGTTAGTATTACAATAAAATATCAACACATTCTTTTATTTTTCTATTCTTCAATATAACATTGGTTATGGGCCCAGAAGTACAAAGAGTGTGTTGATTAAGAAAAGATAAAAACATGAAAAGAGGCTCGTAAAAGTTAAAAAAATGGAGAAGTCAACTGAAAACACATATGGCCTAATACCTTTTATTGGAAACAGTTTTGACAACTGGAAATTTAGGTTATTTTCAGTATTTTTTTTTATTGGGTTAATGCCTCGACAACTATGATCATTGGCATGGTACAGTCAGGTACCTAGTGTAGTGTGTGTGTAGAGTAATTGTCTTGATACTTAGCAAAGTCGACGTCATTGTCTTTGCTAAGAGACGCTAATTGTATCCGAACGTCTGCGGTCCCTCTGGTTAGTAGGTACCAATCGCACAAGGATAGAAATTATTTTCATTTATTAATTTTTAATAAACGAAAATTTCCACCCAGATGAGATTCGAACTCACGACCTTTAGATTTAAAGGTAGGCGCTCTTACCACTGAGCCACAGAGGGGGTTTATTTTCAGTATTGAAGGCCCTCGAATGTAGTGAAACTTTAAAGTCGCTTTCCGCGGTTGATAGAAATGATGAATGGCATAAGAAAAACAATAAAGCATGTATGGTAATTATTCAAAGTATTGCTGACTCGCATTTGGAATACATCAAAGAAGTGGAAATAGCTCATGATGTGATAAAGAAACTGGAAGGAATTTTTGATTTGGTCATAAGTTAATTTCTGTGCTTTAAAACAGTGGCTGCTTTCATGCGAATTCTGACAAAAAACACATTTATAGATGGTGTGAGAATTAACTAAACCCATCGAGGAAGGAGACTTGCGTTTGTTTTCCTCGTGTCTCCTTGTTTTTTGGGCCTGTAGATTTAAAATCTTCGGTTTTAGCAGCATGCAAAATGGAAATTCTCGACTGCTAAAAAAGGTGCTGCTCATTGTCAACTTCCTTTTTCAAGAACAACATTAAACTCTGAAGTCGATTTTCGATGCTTGCGATGCCGGCAGAATTAAGTGACGCTTGTGATCCGATACTTTCTGACAATCGTTGCCAAACTCTTAATAAATCTGAAGGTAGACAGGATTCAACTAAAGGAAATAACATAGCCGCGTATTTATCCGACTTAATACCGAGTGTTTCCAAAACCCTCAACTGAATCTCTAATTTGTCGTAAAACAAGGATGGATCTAATTTATTGCCAGACGAAGTATTATTTATTACCAATTTAAGTAATTCCCGTACATAAACTTCAATCTGCAAGTCATCCTGACCGAAACGCGAAATAAGACAGTCAATCATAGCATCATAATTACTTCCAGTGGCGGGAAAACTATCCACTAGTTGCCTAGCTCTACTACCCGGTATAGTAGCTTGAATCAAATATTCGACCTTGTCGTTCGGATCTGTCCAGATCATGATGAACTTTTTGAAATTGTGACCAAAAAGGCAATCAGTTTTTAATATTCCCGTCGAATTTTATGAACTCTAATGTAGGTAATTTAAATTTTCGCTTACCGCGTCTGCTGTCTACACTACTCCTATCATCAGATATCCTAGAAGCTACCTCACCTTCCACTGCACTTGTCACTATTGACTGCATACAGTCTTCGAACTGCATACTAAGATCCAAAAACTTCTTGCTATAGTTGTCACTACACTCAATTTCTTCTAAAAGGTCTTCTTCACTAGCGTCTTCACTTAGTAAAAGACCGTAGATTTCTTCATCACTTTTCCTTAGGTCTTTTTTTTCACGGTCTCCAATTTTTTGGCGTAATAGATCCAAGGAAACTTTAATTGATCGTATATCACCCTCCGGCGCCGACAAAAGCTTATCCATTTCATTCGCCGTCCTCGTGAAGGTGCCACGGAGTACTTTGCGATGTTTCTTTTTTTGATCCATTTTTCACTG